ATCTATTTACAGTACAAGCTCTAGTATTACCATTCCAGAATTTCTGTCACAGTCTCTTTCTCTCCTCACTCCCTATCCTACTCTTTCATCTTCAGTTACCAATTCCCTGGCCCACACATTCTAATTTTCTCCCTCCCCAGGTTCCCTATGAAAGCCACTTTGCTCAATCATGGTTTTCCCCCACAACTCATCTCATTGTCATATGTCTCCATCCTTCCCACTGCCTCACTGATTCCCAGTCCCAGTTTCCTTGCCCATCACATCCTGGTTCCTCATCCAATCTTAGTTGCCTGCATCCACAGAATCCCAGTCCTCCTTATTTTCTTTCCTAACATTTAGGTCCAAACTTCTTTCCCAGCCAGTCCCAATCACTTCCCACTACTCCCAATCCCAGTTTCCTTTTTCACCATTCCTGCCAGCCCCCAGTTCCAATCTACTCCCCTGCTACTAGTCTGGCTGTCATTCCCACTGCATTTGAATAAGGCAGTTTCTTTCTCTTAGCCCAGCAGGCGGGACACTTAAAGTACAGAAAGGATAAGGCTCCCTGCTCTCAGTTCCAGTGCATAGCTGCCTAGAAATAATATTTTTTGCAAATATTTATAACTTGGACAAATTGGGACAAATTTTCATGAGAATAAAGAACAGCACATATCTGATACAAAGGCCATCCAAATAATGTTTTAAATCCCTGTTCCAAAGCACAGGGGCACTTATGTTCCTCAGCACAAAAGATCACCAATGTTTTATCACAGGCACAACAATGTATTTTTCCCTAGCCAGTTTCTAAGAAATAGCTAAAGTACTTTGGTTGAATTAAAATCAGACTGATAAACATGGGTCAAGAAAATTTTTTGCTCAAGTCATTAAAATTTGGCAAAGTTATAAGCAAAAGAAAACAAGGTTTTATGATTGGAAGTCTCAAACAATCTTAAGATTAGGCAGTATTACCACTTTAAAAACTAACTCATGGACGTATTTATTAAATTGCTTGAAACTTTACCTTAATTACACAAAACAATAAAACACAAAAATTTATTATCAAAGAGACAATTATTTATGCAACAACAAAAAAGACTTATATAACTAATTTGAACTCAATTAATTAAATTAAATTTAATTCAGCAAGCTCTAGATCAGGACCTATATGAAGTAATAAGCATTGAACACAAACATTCAAGAACAAAGTCTTCATTGCACCACTTCAAAATCCTTACCTGAAAAAGAATCTGTCCCATCAAGGAAACTGACTACTAATGTAACATTATATACACCGAGGAACTACACAGAAAAAAACTTAAAACTCAATATAGGATTCTTATGATTATACGTTACACTTTCTGCTTCAAGTTTATTTTATAATTACAATGGCACTGACTCTTTGAACTTTCAAGTCTGATGTTTAATAATCCAATATTTTGAAACAAAGTAACAATAAAGAAAATATGTCTATAAAAAGAAAGTGAAAATTTAGAGAATCCAATACGAAACAAAGTAACAATAAAGAAAATATAATGTCTATAAAAAGAAAGTGAAAATTTAGAGAATCCAATAAACATGAAGTGATATCTGAATTAAAGAAACTAAAACCAAATAAAGTAATAAACTGAAACAAAAAAAGTAATCTAAGAATCAGACTTAGGCCTTACCTTTAAAAACAAACAAAATACATTTAAAAGGAGAATGTAAAAATAAAAACTGATAAAATAGTAATTTAAAATGAATGGAACAGAACTAAAATTACTCTGTTCTTGTAGTAAAAAGAACAGTACAAGACCATGTAAATTAGATAAAAAAAATGTTGTATATCTAGTTTTGTTTGCCTTAAATATTCTGGCTTTAAATTTGTCTTTTATTGAGTGTTTAAAATAACCACATTTCCTAATTTTTAATTGTTATATATAAGACTATTTTGATATTTGTGTAGATGAAGAATATTTTGTGGGGCTCTTAATTCAGCCTCTCTTACAGTGATATTTATTTTATTTTGTAATCAAATAAATATGCTCAAAGTGCAGCTCCACTTAAAAATAGTTTCTATAAATATCAGAGCTTTAAGTTAAGTGTGATGTCAAACACAAACTGAGATGTACAGGACTAGCCATCTGAGTACCTGCTGACAAGGACCAGAGAAAGCTTTGCTACTACTTGGCTCCTAACCAAATCAGACACATTGAGGTCTGGGAAAAGGATGGGCCTTAAACTCAAAAAACAATTCCTCAGTTGGCTCAGCAGATGAAAATGTCCATAACTTAAAGTGAACTGTTTTTAATCTCTGTACATTCCCTGTACTGGTTATGAAAGCAAATCTCTCAGCCTCTGGAGGTCATGACCATCTTTCTCCACCCTGCTTATTAGTTGGAATAAATACCTTCCTCCTCTCTCTCTCTCTCTCTCTCTCTAATCTGTATGATGAAATCAATAAATACGGATTTTATATAGGCAAATTTTATAACCTTTTAAAATTTTCTTGGACATTAAGACATAGGCTTGGTAACAGCATATTTTATATTGATTGACAAGAATAATGTGTCAATTATATATTTTGAACATGTTTATACTGTTTTTCATTTCTGCTTACTTAATTTGTCCTCTTTTTGTGAGCTTTTGAAATGGTTGTTTTTTTGTGGGTAACTGTTGAACTGCAGAACACAGATGTAAAATAAAATTTAAAAAGCAGTTACTTTTTTTAAATGCTGTTGGTTCAAATGTGTTTTTCAATTATTGCTCCTTGTAAGGGACAATGCACAACTACACTGCTTTTCAGAGACACTTTAGCCATGTGCTTCCTGGACCCATGATGATGTCTCCTCTTCTGGGACCTTAGCAAGGTGTCTGGCATTAACCCTCTCCTACTCTTTTTCTTATCCTTGTGCATGAGAACTGCTGAGAATAGTACTAATGTATTGTGAAAGGATCCTGGCACTAAACTGAAGGAGTTTCCACACCAGGTTGTGCCAACAAACAAGACTCTTCTATGTCAAAAAAATCTACCTTTCATACATCAGTAAGGATTGGTTTTGCATTAGGTTTCTTTAGCACCTGGAAGTCTGTATTTTGGCCAAAGTACAGCACCAATGAGTTGAGAGCACAGCCAAGCCCACACCTTAGAGCTGACATTTTCATCATAAAGAGACACGAGTTACTGTCACAGACTTAGGAACCACTGTCAGGAAACCCAATCCTGTACAGATTTCTTCAGTGCACGGGCTTATTGCTGATTTGTCTAGTTTTTGAAATAAAAGGCCTCCTGTCTTTCACAACCATAGACAGTGGACATGACAGTAGATTAAAAGGCCAGGCTAATGAGGCCTTCTTGACAAGGAAGGTTTGGTATTTCCAGTGCATATCACTCTAGATCCAAAGACTGAAGATTCTGCCCCTCCAGCAGTGATATGGAAATTTTCCCTGAGGCAGTATAAGTGGCTGCATGAATCCACTTCAGCAAATATGGAAGAGCACAACACATTACTTAAATTTGTGCTTGTTATCCAGATTCTTGGAAGCTGGATTTGCCATAGCTAACTGGTGGTACGCCTTTTAATCCAGGCTATGTCTAGACTGCAGGTTTCTTTCGGAAGAAGCTTTTCCGGAAGATATCTTCCGGAAAAACTTACTTTGAAAGAGAGCATCCACAAAGCAAAAGCGCATAAAAAAAGCAATGTGCTTTTTGGAAAGATAGCATCCACATTGATTGGACGCTATCTCGCATTTAAGTTGTGATTGCTATGGATGGAGTGGCCACCAGGGCACCTGTGCTTTTTCCTGGAGGCCTCGTCTTTCAAACTCCCTCCCCTCACCCCTCCGCCTTCCCCATCCACACACACCTTTTTCTGAAAGAGCTCTTTCGGAAAAAGGCTTCTTCCTTGTAAAAAGAGATTTACCTCTGTCAAGAAACCCCCCTGCATTCTTCCGATTTTCTTTCAAAAGAACGCAATTGCAGTGTGGACATACATGTAGTTTTTCCGGAAAAATTGCCATTTTTCCAGAAAAACTCTGCAGAGTAGACATACCCTTTGATATTAAAATACAGTGTGTAACAGTACAGAGTTCACAAAATATGCTAAATAAAGTAGAAAAAGTAGAAAATAAGAAAAATAAAGAGACTTTTAAGAGAAAACTGAAATCATACCACATACAGAGAGATAATCACAGTACCTCTCAGCTCCCAATGTTCACTGATTCAACACAGCACTAAAGCAGGTCCACTGAGCATGCATTTCTCCCAGAAGGTTTGAAAAGGTCTGAATTGCCAGGTAGGAATATGAAGCAGTCACATGAAGTATTGTAAGATGCTATATTATTATTCTTCATAAACAAAGCTATGTTATCAAACATTTTCAATTTACTCAAAATAAATACTTTCATTTTTCTACTACAGGAAACCTTAACTTTCACATACAGAAAATATTCAGAATTTCAATTTAAAATATATTTATTTGCTTGTTTATAAATATTCAAAACTCACTTTGTTGTTCCAGTATTTAACATCTTCCAGTACCTCTTCTTTTTGCTTCACTACCTCTTCAAGCTGTCTTTCTTCCTTTGTAATCTTCTCCTCTGTTTCTTTTATCTTTTTACACAATGTAGTCCAAAGAAATTCTGAATGTTTTAAATCATTCCTAATAGAAAAACAAGAGTAATGTAATTCACTTACTTGGAGGTGTTTCAACATAGCCCTTCTTCATAAGGAGAATGCAAAACAAATTTGAATCAGTAAACAATTATTTTAGTTCTTTATGTTGTGTAAGTCACTCGAATACTTGTATATTAATAGATTTTGAATGATCTATTCAGGCAACATCATGTGCCAGAAGCTGTGACTGGACAATGGGTCATGGAAACTGTAATGTTCTATTCATTCCCTCTGGTATTGGGCATTATCAGAGGAGAAGGTAATCGGCCATAGGAACCACAAACCTAACAGAGTTTGACTGTTTTTTGTTCTTATTCTTGTCAGACTTCAAAGCTATTCATTTGTTCTTAAAGAGCCTGCTAATTGAGCCTCTAACCAGTTACTACAGGTTGAACCTCCCTTGTCCCATCCGGCACCATGGAGACTGGAGTGGTCTCAAAACAAGAAAATTTGCTGGATCAGGGGAGGTCAGGCATGGTGGCTCTCTTAGGGCTCCCCTCCTGGCAGCCGCTTCAGGAGAACCCAGAGACCTGATCTCCAGCACACCTGCTTGGGTCTGCTGCCCCCAGCTCCTGGTGTGGGGCAACAGCTGCCCCCGGGTTCTCCAGCTTTGGCCTCATGCGCGCCAGCAGCAGCTGCTTCCAGGATTCCTCAGAACCCTGGAAGCAGTTGAGCAGCAGCTGCTCCCAAGGCTCTCTCACCAGCCCCTGCAGGCTGCCGCAGACCAAACAAGCTCTGCTCCCAGATGCTCTCAATCTCTATGGCTGAGCTCTCTGGTCTAGCAATATCTGTGGTCCTGCTGGACCAAGGATGTTGCCGGACCAGGGAGTCCCGGGTGAGAGAGGTTCAACATGTAGTCCAATAGTTGAAAACATGGTTTAGTTCACACATTCTACATTTAATAATCAAGCATAATGGCTAAGTGCAATTCCTTCTGTTGGTCTACTCTAATGTGCAGCTATCTTCATTTAACCAATCAGGTTCACTGTCATTTTGCTTTGTGGATGAAAGTCATTTTGCTATGTCCCCAGGTCACTCTTACCTCCTTCCATATCTCTTAGCAGTTAGGCAACCTAGAATACACTCAGGTGCTAAGAAACTCAGATAAAATATTTAGGCTAGTGCCAAGACTGACAAGAATTATCATTATGATTTATAATTTATATTGAGGTAGCACTAACTGGCCTCAACTCCCATTGTGCAAGGCACCTTATAAACAAGAAAAAATTATAGTCCCTGCTCCAAAGAATATCCCTTGGGCACTCTCCTTCCAGAATTTGTTTTTAAAAGCTTTCCAGGCTCAACCAGTAGAAAACCACAGTCTGGTAAAAATGCCCATCAACTTATTTTTCTGGACTTAGCCTCATTGTCATACAAGCAGATGATAAATTGGTAAGTGATTGCACCAGCTGGCATCTGTAAACCAAATGGAAAAGCCAACACAGTAAGCCAAGTCCAAATCAGTGATAAAGATCTTCCTTTGACACTGAAGTGAGAAGGGAATTCAGACTGATCTGAATACTATCAAATGGTATCCAATGGCCTATTGATAAATCCTAGTGTGAACCCAGCCCCATGCTCCTGCCCAAATGGCCCCAAGATCTTAGGTGTCGGGAGAGAGGCAGGCGGCCCCCCCGGTGGTGCTGTGCATGCACCAGGATCCGTGCCCGGCATTTAAAAGAAACGCGGGATCAGCTGGCAAAGGAGGAGGAAGCGGCGGAGAATGCCGGAGGTGGGGCAGAAACAGGGGGAGCTGCCGGAGGGAGGGCGGCAGTGGCTAAGAGGGGGAACCGGGGGCGAGAGCAAGGGGAGACGCCGGGAGGTCGGACCAAAGTGGCCGGAGGCCCTGAGAATTGGTCAGGGGTACTGGAAGATCGGAGGGCAGGCGCTGGGACTGCCAAGAATGAGGAGGCCGAGGGATCAGCCACCTGTGGGGGCGGACAGGTAGCCCAAACCCCAGAACGCACACAGCGTGCCCCTTCGTCTCACAGGGCTGACGGTGGAGTGTGTGAGAGCCTGCGGGAGTGGTCTCATACGAGGGCACCTGCTCTGATGGCGTCCATAACACCCCCCTAGGAGGGATGGGGAAGAACCCCTCTCCCCGAGTGAACCCCTCTCTCCGTGGAACCCCTCTCCCCGAGTGAACCCCTGCATAAGGCCGTGGCGGGTACCCCGTGATGAAGGTCAAGACCTCCCCCAAATGGCCGGTGACTATTACCCAACCCCAGGGAGATATACGGCTTGCAGGGCGGTAGGTTGGCCTATCGTAAGCTCACCTGCATGGGCCAATACCTAACCCCTTAACTTTACAAGCCCAGAGCAAAGGTAGGGACCGGGACCTCAGTGCCATTAATGTGAGGACTCGCTCCCACACGGTCTTGGGAGGGAGGGGTTGGGGGGGACGTTTGACACCTAGCTCATCTTGCAGACAGCATGATGCAATGGACCACCCCTCAATACCAGAAAAAGTTTACAGTGTAATTAGGCCATGAACTGCAACAAATGGCCAAAAACTTGTCCCATGTCCTCACAACTATTTGAAACTCAATCATGTAATGGACATCGGTGACCCCTCCAATTCAGATGAAGACATGAAAGAAAGAGAAAGGGGTGGGGGAAGGAACGCTTAGAGAAAATGTTAGGCTCTATTACCAGTTTTTTCACATTCTTTATAACTTCTATACATGTGAGAGTGTGCTTTGAGGAAGCAACAGGGATTTGTAAGAAATGGAAGGAGATCAAGTTAAAGTGTGCCACAGAAACTAATACATACATGCTATACTTATTATTGTAATGGTGGTGGAAACATACTCCCATGAGAGCAGAAAGCTCCCTCACTTCCTGCTTGTTATTTCACCATCCCATAGCTCTGTTTAACCAGACATGGTACTCCCTAAACTGGCAATGTAATTTCACCCTATAACATCACAGGGAAATTTCTAATGATGGCAGAAATGTGGTGCTGTGTGCTAGATTATTACAACTAAAGTGGACCCTGAGTTCAACAATGCACTGTGTTTTTCAAATATGTAAATTTCAATTTGGTAAGGAAGTCAATCACTGAATTTATGTATTTAGATAATCAGTTTCCCTATATCAGCTCTATGGTCAAATTATGCTGACAATCTCTTTTTTTAAAAACCGAGAGATGATTTATTAACCCCAGATGTTTAGCTTACCTACAATCTTTCTGAAGCTTTGCACAGAAGAAACACTAAATGTCTGAGTCACTTCTCCAACTTTTTCATTAGGATAAAGGGCAAAGTAATCTCGTCCTCTGGTCTCCTTTCTTAAAGATTGGGACCACCAGACCAGTTAGCTCTTCCAGAGGTTCTGCACCCACCTTCCGTACAACATTGAATAGGTATGTTAACCATGACACCCTTGTCCAGTGATTTCAACATCTCCAGACAAATCTTGTCCACCCCGACTTACCACTACAAAGACATTTAATAGCTACTTCAACAACAGAAATAAATCTGATCTCATTTCCGGTACTGCCTCCTGAAAGGAGAGCATGTCGACCAAGTTGAGAAGTTCTTCAGAGTGCTCCTTCCACCTCTCAACAATCTCCTTGTTCAAGGTCAATGTTTGATCATCTTGCTTAGAAAAGCCTCACAAATGTCCCATCAACCATTAAGGTGATGAATGGTATGCCTCTGAGGTTGTCCAGTAGTTGTTCTTCATAGTTTTCCAAACTCCTCCCAAGCCTGGCTTTCACTTCAATGATCACTGCAGCCCTCTGACAATCTGTACCACTCAATCCCATTAGGAAACCAGTTTATGATTACTTCTTGGAAGCCCTCCTTCTTTGTCTTGACATCTCCCCTCACCACTGGTGTCCACATGTCCTAGGGTTGCCAGCTTGACAGGCACTAACTGCCTACAGGCCACAAACTTTTGGTGGCTGCCTCAACAATTCATGATCTGAAAACTGTCCACTCACACTCAATGTCCAAGACTTCAAGAATTTGGAGAAATTCTTCCAAAGGTGGGAACTGACGTATTTCCACACAGGGTCCTTCACCAGACATTCCCAGCAACCTGCACTGATCATTTTGGCCTCCCATGTCTTTCCAGTTGGCATCCAACTCATCACAATGACTGGTTGACATCTCTCGCCCTCTCTTCATCCAGGTGTCCAGAACATTCAGCCTCAGATCTGATGAGACAATTATGAAGCAAATCATTGATCTTCAACCCAAAGTGTTCTGGTATCAAGTACATTTATGAGCAATCTTGTGTTCAAACATGGTGTTCATTATGAATAATCCACAACTAGCACAGAAATCCAAAAACTTCTCAAGTCCAAATCAGGGAGGCCATTTCTCCCAATTACTCCACTCCAGATATTTCCATTATTCCCCAGTGAACTTTAAAGTCTCCCAGTAGAATTAGAGAGTCATCAGGTGGCACTCTACCAAGCATCGCTTCCACCATCTCCATAAAATCCAAGTACTCTGACCTGCTGCTAGGCACATAGGCGTGAACAACAGTTATGGTTTTCCTCTCTGAGACCTAAAGACTCAGAGGTGATCCTCTTGTCAACCAGGGCAAACTCCAGATGCACAGCACTTAGCCAGGGACTTGCAAATATCCCCTCAGCCAGACAGGGCCACTTACACAGGGTCATTCCAGAGTAGGAAAGAGACAACCGTAGGTCAAGAAGTTTGTTTCCAGAGCCAATGCTATATGTGGAGGTGACACCATCTATATCTAGCCAGTACCTTTCCAGCTCTCCCACCAGCTCTGGCTCTTTTTCCACCAGCCAAGTGACATTGCACATCCCAAGAGCCAGTTTCCATTTCAGAGGGCCAGCTCGTTGTGATCCATCCCTTCTTCTTCCATTCTAGCTTCCATTCATAGACATCTGTCAGGGATGGTGTAGACGGAGCTTGATCCTGCCTTGAGGGCGGGGGGCTGGACTCGATGACCTCTCGAGGTCCCTTCCAGTCCTATTATTCTATGATTCTATGATTCTAGCTTCATATCCAATCATCATCCTTCATGTTGAGGCCACATCAACATTTTTGGGCTGAGCCTGGCTGAGTTACATGGGTGGCCTGGCCATCCCTCACCTAATACCAGCCCTAGAACTGGCTTTAGGGGTGCATCTCAGTATCCCTAATCCAGGAAAGGTTCATGTGAACAATTTCTGGGCTTTCTTAAGGGTCTTCAGATGGATCATTTTTAGTCTGGAACATTCCCACAGATCTGTTTACCTAGGGTAACTCTACTAGGAATAGTGTTCCCTCTAAGATGCTTGGCAGCAGTTTCACAAGTGATTAATCAGCCCCATCCAGTCAGAGGCTCAGGGCTCCTTGCACAGAGCTGACTGACTGGGTGGTGCTGATAAATCACCTGCAAAGCTGTGCTGCTATGCAGCTTAAAGGGAACACTGACTAGGAATACTGTTTTCCAAATGACATAGGCCTAGAGTTCAATGGAGTATACAAGCCCCTCCACCATGACAAGGTAACGATCCTCAAAGGGCCATTACAAAGAGATTAATCTTCTTAAATCCTTACTGGATCTACCTCCTTTTCAAAATTCAGATTCTACCACAAAACTATATAACCAAACCTGGAATCTGAAGAAGGCATAATGCCAAAAGTATCTTTCTCTGAAACATGGTGGAAAGTCAGTCTCTGGAGATCTATCCAGCACAATGCCTCATCTCCTTCTTTGGCTGGGAGAAGAAGAATGAGAGAGACGGACCTTTTAATTATTCTAATTGGGATATCAGTCAGATCCATTACATGTTGCAGATTCACATCAACCTCCATCGTAACTATAACGGTAGAAACTAGGAAAGATTAAAGAATTGGTTAAGATGGTTTCTTCTTTGGCTCTTATCATCTCAACAATTTGGAGCTTTTATGTCCTCAAATCTCAGATCCATAGACGGAGCCAATGAATTATCCAAGAAGTGTTTTAATTTGTGCTTTCTTTTCCTTGGAAGCACAATGCTTAGTTCTCGCATGTTATCAAGGGACCTGGGTTCCTTAACCAGGACTGTCTCAAATGTAGCCTGCACCTTAGCTGAATCATTGGACTTAGCTACCATAATCTTTGTTGGCTTGGAATCAGAGCTCCATGCCAAGTCCAAACCCTTTCCCATGGTTCTCTCTATGAAGCCTCCAATTCTAGCCGTTGAGCACACAGAGTCTCTTGACTGCAAGAAGTATATATTCTCTTTCCTTACAGGCCCAAGTAGTGAGCACACTAAAAATAAGACAATATGAAGGGAAATGTCCTTTTCCATGGCACTTAAGTCATCTGACACATGGATTGGGTGTCTGTAAGGCTTCAGAATATGCTGCACATATTTTAAAATCATTCTTCATTAAAATCAATCATCCACTGTCAATAAATGTATTATAGTCTTTATAAATATTTATAAAGTTTAAATCCCAACACTAATACTCTAACCTATAAAGTTAGCTAGCTAGTCTAATCACCAATGCAGAGTTAGTAGGAATTCAAAGCTGTGAATCCAGGAGATCTAGAAAGATCCATATCTATCTAACTGTGGTGGTTGAAAGTAACTAAGGTGGCAGCTAGCACAGCATCTTTTTTTTATAGCCACATTCTCATATGCTGAGGGGAATATGAGGAGAGGAAGCATTAGCACTTTAATAGGTGGTACTATCAGAAAATACCAATGCATTGGTCCAAAAATCCAAACTGCACTAGTCAGCACATTCCCAGTGTGAGGATATGCAGAGGACACTCAAACAAGAACAGAATTTAAAACAGGCATTTTCGGAATGCAAATATGCTGTGCCTCTATTGTCATTATATTTCTAAACTGTCAAAATACAAATTAAAGACTATCAGAATACATTAGTAACATTTTGAACAGCTCTTACTGGTACTGATTCAACACTATCTCAGCATATTTAATTGTATCAGACATAGATTCTCTCTGCTTCTCAACTTCTTCAGTGACTTGTTTTAAAATCTGCTGGAGTCTCAGAAGTTCTCTATGAACATCATAATATAATTTTGATTCCTGAAAAACAAAAACAAAAACCTTCTATAAACCATTTTCATTATGAAATGCATATAATATTCTAAACACAACTATTCTCATCCAGTAATCTTCTGACATTTATTACTGTGTGAATGTTTGAGTGTAGTGCTTTGGGATGTCACAATATTTATTTAGTGAATAAATAAGTAGTCAGATTAGACAATAATGACAGAGTGTGTGTAAAAACTGATCATATCAAGAAGCCAGTGTTAACAAGAGAGCTTTCATTTTCTTACAATATTTAGAAGTTATTATGAAAAAAGTGGCCACTTATATGGAAAGATAAAGGCTCGTGGAGCAGAACACAACTTGAAAGCCTCTGAGTCTGTACTCAGCAACTTGACAGAATCATCACTTAACTCTGGTCTATACTAGGAATTATTTCAAAATAAGCTCCCTTATTTCAAAATAATAAGTGGAGCATCCACAATACTAAGCCCGTTATTTTGAAATAACGGGTCGGTTATTTAAAAAAACTGCACTCCTGCCTTCCTTGGGGAATAACGCTTATTTCAAAATAATTATTTTGAAATAGCGTTAGTGTAGCTGCTCCACTGCTACTATTTCTACATAACTACTCTCTAGAGTAATTCAAAGTAATTAAATCCCTGTGCTTCCTGGGGCTTTAAGTCGAGGTAGCACATCCACAGTAACAGAGCCTGCCTCAGACTATTTTGGAGACTCCTCAGTAGTGGGGGAACGCTATTTCAATTTTGTTATTTTGGGAGTTATTTCAAATTTAGTAATTTTGAAATTATTTCCTAGTGCAAACCTTTTGAGGTGCAGAAGTGGGGTGTGGTTAACTTCCCCCTGATTTCCACCCCCACATTTCTGCTGTTGCCATCATTACCTTTACTGCTTCCTCTGCCAGCCTCAGTTGCTACAGGTGACTTTTCCATTCTTGGCCCCACTGCTTGCCCCTCTTCCTTTTGCTCTGCTGGGTCCTGCTGCAGGTATTGTGGGCCTGCTACTCAGGCACCCTTGGGCATACCAGCCCTCCTCCCACCTCCCCACCAGCAGTGTCTGGCTGCCACTCCTTCCTTGAGCAGGCCCTTCCTCACTGCCTGCTCTGCCTCTCCACTGTCTTTCCCCCTTTCCTGTGTGCCCATACCCCCCTTTTTTCTTTTGTTTGGTGTATGAGCCACCTTCTTTCTTGGTCATCTCCCCACCCCCCAGTTGCACTTACCCCTTACTGTGAATATAATCTATCCCCTCATCTCCCCAGTGCAGCTGGAGGAGCCAGTTTTTTCATTGTGTGTTGTGAGTTGTATCTCTTGTTTCTCTATCCCCCCCTTCCTCCAGCCCAGAAAGGTGGGGTGATGAACCTTCCCTCTTCGCCTTCCTTCCTCCTCTCACTCCCTCCCTGGTGCTTTTTCCCCCACTCCCAGTTATTGTTCCTGTCCTTCCCTCCTCGCCCATGACAACAATCTCAATGGATGAGCTGTTCTGTGATGCTTCTGCCACCCCTTTCCCTCCCATACATCACTGCAAATGCTGGTCCCTCTAAGGCTTCTGGGTTGCGACCTGACTTATCTCAAACAAGGGAATTTGCTGAATCAGAGGTAGTCCCCTGCTACTGGCCCCCCAGGACACCAGTTACCTGAGGTGTAACAGTTAACTCAAACTAAGGACTTAGTTCAAGTTAACGTTTGACTGCCGCGTGTAGCCGCGGGCAGTTAGTTCTGATTAAGGGGATGTAGAAATGGCACCCGGATGGGAAGATGCAAAATAGAAATGGCACCCAGATGGGAAGATGCAAATAAAGCCCAAGATATTTAAATCCTGGGCTTCATTTGCAACTTCGAATGCCTACATTAGCCTCCCTAGTTTGAACTAGGGGGCTAGTGTAGACATACCCTGTATGTTTATAGAAAATACCACTGTGGTATTGTCTGAATATTCGTACTACGTGCCCAATGATAAGAGTACGGAAGTGCTTGCATTCATTGAACACCGCCCTCAGCTTGAGAAGGTTGATGTAGCAGAAGTTCTCTGCAATGGTTCATTTGCCCTGAGCATGATGGTTCCCGAGATGTGCACCCCATACCAATAGGAATGCACCTGTGGTAATTTCCAGAGTGGGCTGAGGTCGGTGGAAGGGCACCCCTACTAACATGTTGTCGGGAATCATCCACCATGTTATTGATTGTATTGCATCCTGTGGAATAGTCACCATCTTGTGTATGGCGTGTTTGCCAGGTATGTACACTGTGGCTATCCAGTGCTGTAGACGAAGATGTAATCTCGCATTGGATACTACATAAGTGGTAGCCACCATATGTCCCATAAGTTGTAAGCATGTAAGGAGGATGTTTTGGGTCCCATCAAAAGGACCTTCACAAGGAAGGATTGAAATCTGTATTGGGGCAGGTAAGCCCTGGTGGTGGTCGAATCTAGGTGTGCGCTTATGAATTCTAGGGACTGTTGCGGCATTGATGATTTTTGGAAGTTGATTGTGAGTCCAAGAATCTCAAATATCTCTCTGGTTGCATTGGTGGTTTGTAATGTATCATCAAAGGAAGATGCCATGATGAGACAGTTGTTGAGGTAGGGGAATATTATGATTCCCAATCGTCGGAGGTGTGCTGCCACTACGGCGAGTGTCTTTGAAAAAATCTCTGGGTGCTGAGGAAAGGCCGAATTGCGAAACTTTGTATTGGAAATGATCGGTGCCTACTAGAAACCTCAGGAAGCACCTGTTAGCGGGGTGAATTGTTATATGGAAGTAGGCATCCTGCAAGTAGAGGGACACAAACCAATCCCCTTTGTTGAGTGCTAGAATGATAGTAGCCAGTGTCACCATCCTGAATCTTTGCTTGCAGAGGTAGCAGTTGAGCCGTCTCAGGTCTAAGATCGGCCTCCATCCGCCTGACATTTGTGGGTCAGGAAATGTCTTTTCCGGTACTCTCTCTATCGTGCCTATGGAAAGGAAGTGGGAGACCTCTTGTTGTAAAAGGGTCTCATGAAAGGGGTCCCTGAAGAGGGACAGGGAGTGAGGGGAGGGTGCAGGAAGTGAAGTGAAGGGAATGGCGTAACCTTTTGCTATCAATTCCAGGACCCATCGGTCGATGGTGATAAAGGCCCATCGTTGTCTGAACGGCCTCAAGCGATGGTGAAAAATCTCGCCCATGATGTGAGGATGGGGATGGTCTGCAGGCCCTCAACAATCGCATCCAACCTGTTACCAGTTGTTTTGCTAGTTCAAAGGTCTGTTTTTCTGTGGTCATTGCCTCTGTGGATGTTGTCTGGGGCATTGCTGTTCTTGCTGCCTTTACGGTGGTGTAGTATATTGGAAGGCATGTGGTGCTTCTGACGATATGGAGGCATATACATGCCTAATGTCTTTAAAGTGGTTCTGGTATCTTTTCCAGAGTGTAGCTCCTGGTCAGTCTTATCTGCAAAGAGACTCTGTCTGTCAAAGGGCAGATCTTGGACCTTTGAATGGAGTTCCTTAGGTACTGCTGCTAGCTGTAACCAGGATGCTCTGCGCATTACCATGGGGGTGACAGTGGTCCAGGTCACGGTATCTGCAATATTGAGCGTGATCTAGAGCACTATCCTGGAGGCAGTATAGCCCTCTTGTACCACTGCTTTGAGTATCTGGCATTTGGAGTCTGGCAGATGCTCTAAGAGAGGCACCAGTTTGAATAATTGTCTACGTTATGGTTTGCCAGTAGGGCAGAGTAATTGGCCATCCTCAGTGCTAATGTGGCTGCTGAATATACTTTGCGTCCAAACAGGCCTAAGCATTTACAGTCCCTGTCCATGGCCGTGTTCTTGTATTGAGGGGCCTTAGCCTTCTGAGCAGCATCAACTACTAATGAATTTGGATGCGGATGTGCAAAAAGAAAGTCCATTCCTTTGGAGGGAACAAAGTACTTTTTGTCGGCCCTCTCATTGGTTGTGGGTGTGGGGGCCGATATTTGCCAGATGTCATTTCCTACTTCTAAGATTGCCTCATCAAGAGGGAGAGTGACCTTAGACTTTTGTGATGGTTGAAGGTTTTTAAGTAGACATTGTTGTTTCTTCTGGACCTCAGTGAGTTTCACCTCTTGGCTATCAGCCACCCATTTGAACAGTTCCTAGAACTGATGGATGTTGTCCGTGGGTGATGAATCTCCTGGAAATACTGCGTCGTGGAGATGAAGAGGATGAGTCAGTGGTTGATATGTCCTGAGGTTGATCTTGGTCAGACATTTGACTTTCCTCCAGCTCAGGGTGCTGAGGTGCCGGCATATGCACATTCCCATAAGGAGTGGGAGGTCTAATACTGAGAAGTGTAGGAGACTTGTTTTTCTCCACTTCCACATGTGGTTGTTGGCAATGTGGGGATCGTTGTTGCGATCGTTCTCTAGAGTATAAACAGTGCCGGTAGTAATCACTATGAGCATAGTAACAATCGTAGCATCTTGAATATGAAGGGGAATATCCAGGAGACTATCTTCTATCACGCGTGTAGTATAGAGAATAAGGTGATCGCGAGGGGGATCTTGGCAATCGAGACCTGGCCCTTGAAGGGGAGGGTGCAGGAAGTGAAGTGAAGGGAATGGCGTAACCTTTTGCTATCAATTCCAGGACCCATCGGTCGATGGTGATAAAGGCCCATCGTTGTCTGAACGGCCTCAAGCGATGGTGAAAAATCTCGCCCATGATGTGAGGATGGGGATGGTCTGCAGGCCCTCGACAATCGCATCCAACCTGTTACCAGTTGTTTTGCTAGTTCGAAGGTCTGTTGTTCTGTGGTCATTGCCTCTGTGGATGTTGTCTGGGGCATTGCTGTTCTTGCTGCCTTTACGGTGGTGTAGTATATTGGAAGGCATGTGGTGCTTCTGACGATATGGAGGCATATACATGCCTAATGTCTTTAAAGTGGTTCTGGTATCTTTTCCAGAGTGTAGCTCCTGGTCAGTCTTATCTGCAAAGAGACTCTGTCTGTCAAAGGGCAGATCTTGGACCTTTGAATGGAGTTCCTTAGGTACTGCTGCTAGCTGTAACCAGGATGCTCTGCGCATTACCATGGGGGTGACAGTGGTCCAGGTCACGGTATCTGCAATATTGAGCGTGATCTAGAGCACTATCCTGGAGGCAGTATAGCCCTCTTGTACCACTGCTTTGAGTATCTGGCATTTGGAGTCTGGCAGATGCTCTAAGAGAGGCACCAGTTTGAATAATTGTCTACGTTATGGTTTGCCAGTAGGGCAGAGTAATTGGCCATCCTCAGTGCTAATGTGGCTGCTGAATATACTTTGCGTCCAAACAGGCCTAAGCATTTACAGTCCCTGTCCATGGCCGTGTTCTTGTATTGAGGGGCCTTAGCCTTCTGAGCAGCATCAACTACTAATGAATTTGGATGCGGATGTGCAAAAAGAAAGTCCATTCCTTTGGAGGGAACAAAGTACTTTTTGTCGGCCCTCTCATTGGTTGTGGGTGTGGGGGCCGATATTTGCCAGATGTCATTTCCTACTTCTAAGATTGCCTCATCAAGAGGGAGAGTGACCTTAGACTTTTGTGATGGTTGAAGGTTTTTAAGTAGACAATGTTGTTTCTTCTGGACCTCAGTGAGTTTCACCTCTTGGCTATCAGCCACCCATTTGAACAGTTCCTGGAACTGATGGATGTTGTCCGTGGGTGATGAATCTCCTGGAAATACTGCGTCGTGGAGATGAAGAGGATGAGTCAGTGGTTGATATGTCCTGAGGTTGATCTTGGTCAGACATTTGACTTTCCTCCAGCTCAGGGTGCTGAGGTGCCGGCATATGCACATTCCCATAAGGAGTGGGAGGTCTAATACTGAGAAGTGTAGGAGACTTGTTTTTCTCCACTTCCACATGTGGTTGTTGGCAATGTGGGGATCGTTGTTGCGATCGTTCTCTAGAGTATAAACAGTGCCGGTAGTAATCACTATGAGCATAGTAACAATCGTAGCATCTTGAATATGAAGGGGAATATCCAGGAGACTATCTTCTATCACGCGTGTAGTATAGAGAATAAGGTGATCGCGAGGGGGATCTTGGCAATCGAGACCTGGCCCTTGAACGTTGGGGTGATAAAGACACATGGCGGTGTTGGCAGTAATCATGTGGAGAGGCAGGTTCTCGCCTTGGTGAATAATGCAGCCTCGGGGAGTAGAACCCACGTTCATCTGTCGAGTGGATCGACAGAACCGATGATGGTGATGGCGATGCTGGCAAAAAGATGGCACGTTCAGGACTTGGAGAGGGAGTAATTACCCTCCAAGACTTTTGTTTCACTTTAGTCATCTGCGGCGAACACGCCTACGAGGATGATGATATAAAGCATGTATGCGCTGTTTGTGGTGCTGAAACCGGTATGGTTTGCAGCGCCGAGATCCCTGGTGCCAAGGGGCGAGTGCCACCTGAGTCAGTGCCTCCTAGTGTCTCGGCATTGGTGCTGAGCGGATAATCAGTGCCGCTGTATGCACCCTTGGAGGTACCAGTGCCAATGTCAATATGCTCTGGGTCAATTTTTGCTTATCAAGGCGGTGCATAGAAGCCGTGCCAGAAGTGCCGGGTTTTTCTCCTGTAATGACCTGTATGGGTGGCAATGAATGAGAAGGTGAAGCCCTCCTCTTAGTCTGGGCCAGAGAGAGTGCCCGGCTTGTCTGGCTCCAAGAGTTTGTCTTGCTGGGAGGAATCTGATGTCATCTGCTGTAACGCTTTACTGAATATTACAGAATATTTTCAGCCTCATCTCCCTGTCCCATCTAGCCAGCACTGTAAGCTTAGAGCAGTGACGGCATTTCTGGGGAATATGCCCCTCACCAAGGAACTTAATTCAACAGGAGTGCCTGTTGGACGTGGGCAAAGACTCCTTGCATGAGCCTCATTTCTTGAATCTGGGAGATCCCGGCATACTGAAATGATGCAGTTTTGTTTTGTTTTTTAAAGAAGTTGGAACTACGTAAACAAACAACTACTACAACTACTCTGACTACTATAACTACTACAACTATTAACAACTATCTATCTAACTTTGATTTCTTGATATGAAAAACCTGAGGAGAGGTAGCTAGCTCTGCCTGCGACCGAGGACGGTTAGGAGGAACTGGTGGGAGCTGTACTGTGCACGCTCAGAAATGGCATGAACAGCATGAGACAGCAGGTGCACATGCGTGGTCCAGCAGACTACTGCTAACAGTTCTCCAATCTGCGGCGCAAGGACGAGCCCAACACCTACAATGGAGCACCCATGGGGACGCTGCTCGAAGAAGAAAGTTTTCTTAAATTTTTCAGAAATATGTGTTTCAACTCTTTCTGGAACCTCATATTAGTACTTCAAGCACTATTCAACATCTGTGAAAGAGCTACAATGTCTTTAAATGTTGTAGTCTGAATTCCTGTGTATCACATTTAAAAGAATTACAAAGGTATAGTCCAAAATGTTGTAATGCTGGAAGTACACACTTTTTTTTAATATAAATTCTTCTTTTTAGGCTACAAAATGTGAAGAATGTACATTACATGCATTTTACAAAAACTATCTATAGGGAATATTAAGACACATTAGAACTAAAGTAAACAGAAAACTCCTGTATTTAGTACATCTCCAAGGTTCCCATCCTTTGCATGTAATATATGGAACAGCACTTTGGCATTGGCAACAGATGTCCTTAATTAGCAGGAAGATTTTAGTAGCAACATACTTGTAACAATTCTATTTACCTTTCCATGTGTCAGTAATACATCTTTCATAGAATCACCCTCAAGATTCAGCTTTTCTTCCAGCAGAGGGCTGTATTTCTTCATGAAGTCTATATCCTCTTGAATTTCTCCATTAGCTGCCTCGATCTTAAGTATTTGGGTTTTTACTTGTTGTAGCTGACGATTTGCACAGTCAAAATGCCACTGTAGTTCTGAGATATCTTGAATACACATATCATGTTCTGTTTTTAAAAAGTGAGACAAGTGGTATGAAATATACACATATTTAATGATCTTGTAAAAACTGTGTTGCTAAAATATTGCAAACATTTTATGAACACTGTTGTCAACCATACTTTAAGGATCAATAAGAGAATATGTATTACAAAATAAATTACTAAAACTTGTATTAAATGAACAGCAGTTAAAAAATTGTGCTAAATACATAGTACATTACATTAGCAATTCTTTAAACTGAAAAGCACTTTTACAAGGCGGTCGTGACAGCTCTGAGAATCTCTAACCACACACACACACTGTAATTTGAAAGTGTATTAGGTCTATTTTTAGATGAAGCATACCATAATACCACAGAAAAAGGCATAAGCAATTACATCATTATCGAGTTAAAAATGTAATGACCACTTTGAAATATTTACATTCGTTTTGATTACTCTGTTTCAAGACGTAAAATTGTATTTATTTGTAATCTCAAAGCCTCACAATCTAAAGGGAAAAACAAAATCTAAAAATAAATGTGCATAAGTCTCTGCTATGGGGTGGGACTCACTGCTGTGGTGCCTCTTGCTGGTAGCTCCAGGGAAATAGTCCTTTCATCAGTAGGGTGATAACTTCAGACTGGTGTCTCCCCTGGCAGTGCTACATGCTCCTAATCTAGACCTTCGTTACTCCCTGACTTCGGTTTTCTCTTCATAACACTGCTTTCTAGCAGTGCCCACTGCAATGGTTTCTCCTTCCCCATCTGGGGGGAGGAGGTTAATCAGCAGTCCTTAATGTAGCATTTGCCACTGTGGCCAATTGTGGCCTCCAAGCCTAGCTCCGTCGCAGGAGCAAGTCACAGTGTCTATGGGCAATGCCTTCCTTCCAGAAGGGTATCAGCAGTTCTAAGTTTCACCCACTACTGTGGCCAGCTGTGGCTTCCAAGCCCAGGCCTTCTGTCTCAAGGAAAAGCCACAGTCTATATCAATCATACTTTGGTTGCAAGGTGTGAGGCAAGGGAGAAAGGGGGGACCCAGGCTTGTCCAACACTCTGGGTCGTGACCCCAGGACCTTCGAGTGGCAGCTTTGTCCTGTCCTCCTCTATTCCCCTTTACTGCTTCTAGTTCCCTGGGCCACTTGTCCAATGATCCTTTGCACCCTCCTGACCCTTGTAGCAAGGCCAGTAGGTATCAAGCTGATGCCTCCCTCTCTAGCCCCCCCTTAGCCTGCCCAGCACTACTCTATCAAAGGTGCCTTCTCTGAAGGAACCAGGTCCTGCACCTTCTCTGGTCAGAGCCTAACTGTCTATGCTCAGCTTATCAGCTCCTTTTATACAGAGCTGCCCCAGCAAGCTACACCCTGAATGGCTCCTTAAAAGCTTCTCCCTGATTGGCCAGAGCTCTAGGCATTCTCACTCCAGCCTGCTTTAACCCCTTCCGGCTAGTGTGGGGCAGTTGCCCCACCACAGTCTAATTGAAATGTCATCATTATGATTTCTATTAAGAATACATGGGTTTACAACTGTGTTTATTGCCTTGGAATATGCAGGGAAGATCATTCTGATTAGAGAAATGACTGACTGGGCAGTGACTTGTACTAATGTAGGCATGTGGGCACTTGAAGAATACAAAAGTAATTCATCACCTACATTTTCTATCTAAGTTGCAGTGGGTATACAAGATACTGGCTTACTATGTGAAAAGACATTCAGGTCTTTATTTGTCAGCATGCTCTTTTGACATTCTCTTTAAATCTTTCCCAATTTCTTGTCAGGCCACTTCTTCATCTCACAGCTTTTGCATATTCTCTCACAATGTGTTTTCTGGGGGCCAATCTGACAGATGGTGGCTTCTTTCTTGCCAATCCCACTGCTGCCCTTTTTGATTGTAGTTTTCTCTGCTTGCACAACACCCAAAATTCCAGTGAAAAAAACAAGAAATCTGATGCGCAGCAAATGCCTCAGAGTCAAACGCATTGTGTACTTCTTCCAGGACATTTTACATATTAAGATTGTAGCTTGGTATCCATCTGACATAGCTGGGCCACTCTGCAGTAAAAAAAAAGCATGGAAGAATGGCATGCTTTGTGTTAAGGTGAAGTTTCCAATCACCCTTTCACTCTGCATGGGCATTTAGAATAGCTACATGAACTGGAGAAAATTTTCCTAGAACATAAATGTAGTAGACTGACCATATCCTCATATCCAAAATTCCACCAGTGATTTTTCTTGTGATGCTGGACTATTTATAGCTGTTCTTGAAATTCCACTCTAGCCACTGAGTGTAACATATTCTTTCCATCAATGGGCTCTCCACCGATGTCTATATTTTCATCTCCTTCATGGATGAGATTTCCACCAGCATGAAGTGATACAAGTCCATTTGGACTAAACATATCTCCCTGAAGACTGGCTACTTCAGACTTCGCAGCACTATTGATGAACTGCTTCAGCTCATTGCCGTTGATTCAGAATCCATGAAGGTGCAGTATGTCAGATTAGAGCTCTAAAATCATGGCATGTACAGCAAGGCTTATTTGCAGTAGCATGATAACACTGGAACTGTTAAATATTATTCACTCTGTAGTTGAGAGGCACCTTCTCTGAATGTGTTCTGAAGGTTGATACTCATTGTTAGCTGAATTATATGTCTCTATCAACCAAAGTACAAAATCCTCACAAACTGGGGTACAAAAGAAGCTGACCTCCATAAAATACAATCACCTGGTTTTGGATACCAATTTGAGGCTTTCATTTTTTCTATTTCAGACCAAAGAACTAAAGTGGCATTATACAAAACCACTAGTTCATTTGAAAGCTACTCACAAGATTCTCTGGCAAAAAGAATATCCACAAAACACTTGGATTACTTAAATTTTTTGCTTTAGATTACAAGCAGTTTGGATAGTATCAGCTAATATTATTATACTGCACAGAACAGTGGTATATTTGCCTGTTCCATGCCACCCATGCAATGAAATTGCAAAACCATAGTGTTGTTCTAATCTGACCTGTAAGTTGCTGCTGGAATACTTTTCAGTTTCTACATCTGAGAGAAATAGGGCTTTATATCTTTGTTGCAGTTTGTTCTTGTACAAAAGATCATGGTCTATTTCTCCAATCAGCCAATAAAAAACAATGTCATAAGGTGAGTGTAATGTTGCAGTATAATTTAGAATTTGCTTTAAAGTTCATTATACAGGCAGTCCCAGGGTTACGTACAAGATAGGGACTGTAGGTTTGTTCTTAAGTTGAATTTGTATGTAAGTTGGAACTGGTACATATTGTAGGGAGTACATATTGTAGGGAAAACTCTAGCCAAACATTTCTTCAGAGCTCACTTTTATTCTCCCACACCTCACTTCCCTCAGTCCTTTATTCTCAAGCTAAGGTGTCTGCTGAGAAAAGCCGCTCCGCGTCTCCCTGGTCTGCTGGGGGGGGGGCACTAGCTTCGCGTCTCCCTGGTCTGCTGGGGGGAAGCAGCTAGTGCGGGGTTGCCTCACCCCATTTGTAAGTAGGGATCCGATGTAAGTCGGATCCATGTAACCCTGGGACTGCCTGTACTAGGAAGAAAAGCATGCTGAAGGATAAAATGCATCCTAAGCAATCAAGTCTTTCACTGATATTCTGCACAAAATGTCGTCATCTCTTCTTTGGAGTGCTGTTTCCTTTCGATTAGTTGCTCTCTCCAATGTTTTTATTTTATGTAGCTTATCTTTTGTGTGTTTTTCCTCAAACAAACGAGGCAACAAGGCCAACTGCTGGGGAACATGTTCACTCTGGTGATTTCAGAAAAGGGAGAACATGATTCACTCTGATCATATTCAAAGTCTGTTTTCTTTCCTGCATTCAATACAAAAGTGATATGCATCATATTCAACTTACTTGTGTATTTCTGAAAACAACTCCACTGACTGAGTATTGGTAGCACTTCTTCTAAACTAGAAAATTCATCCAGTAACTACCAATGTAATTAATCTCTTGTGGCTTCTGCTGCCACTACCACAGAATTCTGTCCAGCACTGATGGCTTTCAACAATTTTGAATTCTTTGGATTTTCTTGACAAATAATACATTTTTCTAAATATCATTAGGCACACCTCCAGATTTCTCGGTGAAGACCGAAACAAAGAAGTCATTGAGCATCTCCACCATTTCCAAGTTTCCTGTTACTGCTTCTCCCTCCTCCCTAACCAATGGGCCTATCCTGTCCTTGGTCTTCCTCTTGCTTTTAATGTATTTATAAAAGGTCTTCTTGTTTCCCTTTATACCTGTAGCTAGTTTGATCTCATTTTGTGCCTTTGCCTTTCTAATCTTGCCCCTGCATTCCCGTGTTGCTTGCCTATATTCATCCTTTGTTATTTGTCCTAGTTTCCATTGAAAAATACTGAAAACTATTATAATCAATTGTGAAATACTGAAATACAAGAATATGCTGTTAAGACTTTTCATATTATGTATATCGCAAAATGTTGATACCTGTCTTTTTAGCCACATGCAAAATAGCTTTATTAATTCTGGAAGAGATACTTGCCCATTCAAACAAATGAAAAATCTTTTAAGGTATTGTCTATTGGTAGCTTTGACCAATAAGCACCATTTTAAAATGCTGAAATTAACCTATCAATAAAAACTGAAATCATAGTCATGTTGCAATGTTTCTGAAATTGTACAAAAATATTTTATTTTGGGCAACATTATTTCCACTTGACAGATCCACATCATACTTCATCTAAACTTCAATTTCCTGCTTGCCACACATTTCCTGTATGGCCTAGAGCAAATAATTTCGTCACTCGGAGCCTTGTAGCCCCATTTGTAAACTTAAAATAATAGGTTCCTATTTCTCAAAGATGCTGCGAAGATAAGTACATGAAAAAATATGAGCCATTCACTTACTGTGGACATGGGGACACAGGAGAATAATACAAATAAAAATAAATAAGTGCATAAAAAAAGAGGTAACTAAAGGCAAGTAATTCAGATCTCCCTAATTTACAGAACAAAAACACCTGATAAAATGTA